AATCCATGTAAGAGAGCAGAACTGCAGCTGCTTACAGCAGGATAGATTTAGCTCTTACGCGCTCTTAAGCCTGACCCTCACAAGCAATTCCTAGCTTCATCCACTCCAGGCCTAACGCATCATTACCATCTCTTGGCTATCTGACTGTCAGCACAGCACTTAACACACAGCTTGAGCCCCCCTAAGAAAAAATCCATGGAGAACTCATAGAACATCAGTGTAAATTATTTCCCCATAGATTAAACCCCAAGCAAGTAGTTCAGGTGTGGGAAAATGCCCGTGCAAATGCATGGATTTCCAAAGCATTTACCAAAGTTCAACCCCCACAGCCTTCTTTCACTGATTTTTAAAACTTGTGAGAAGGTAAGGGATTAAACCAAGGATATTCAGGCAGTGTGTCACGAACCACAGTTATCTTCCATCATGCCAGTGAAATGAAAAGTAATTAGCTGAAAGTACTGAACAAATCCAACCCTCTTGATGCCTGCAGTAATCTTTGTGTCACTTAGCTCTTCTCAGGGTTTGAATTCTTAACTTCTCCGTACACCTCCCCAGGAACCTAAATACTTCAGATTGAACTGATCCAACTCATCAGAGTCCCTTTGTGCTACCAGCCGGAATTGCCTGGGGCCAGGATTGCTACTGGGGGCACAAGGGGGGCTCCCCAGCCTCTAACGCGGATGCACACTGGCCAGCAGACCACTCGGCAAAACCTTCCAGCCCTTGCAGGCAGCAGTACTTGAAAATTTACTTAATTCTTGTTATTGGGCTGTAGCAACTGGAGAGCCAGTCTTAACTCCTACCAGACATAATTGACTCCCTCCTCAGTGCTGGGTTGTCCCAGAGCAAAGGGGATGCAAACTACAAAGCAATCTTTTAAAATATTTTGCATGTTTTTTATTTGGACTAGCTGGTGCTGGACATGGGATTTCCTTACTGAAACCATGGATATATTATACTGTTCAGCATTAGCAGTTATTTCGATCACTTACACGGAGGGATTCAACAAACTGAGAAGTAAAAGGTAACTATGTAAAAGGTTGCTGACAAATTCTTAAATACTTTGGTGTTGAATTAATCAAGTGTATCCATACTAGGAAATCTTTCCCTTATTAAAAACAGGCGGCCAGATGTTAGCACATACCAGTTTGCATAGCTCCTCTGCTCTCAGCGAGGCTGTATCAGCTTGTTACCTCGTGAGGTTCTGAACCAAAATACCTACTCTCAATGTAATTTTAAGCAGTTTGCTTTCAGCTTCCTTGCGTGTGAAAATGCACAGAACCTTCCTCTTAGCTAAGCTTCCTCCCTGCCCTCCCCTCCAACAAAAGAAGTGGGTTTTGCCTTGCCAAATGTCTGTATTTCAGCAAGACTGGACTGGCAGAAATTAAGAGGTTTACATTTAAATGAAAAAATATGCTGTAACATTTTGACAAGTCCTGAAAAATTACAATGCATGTTTTGTGCAGTTGAAATTTAAAAATAAAGAAACTAATGCCATATATAAGGGATAGCGCCTTTAACTGTATACCAAACATCAGGATGGTTGAAACGACATATTTCCTTTTCAAGGCAGATTCAATAACCCCTCCCTACTCAGCCGAGCTATGAAGGACATGATTAGCTTTAATTTTCAGGAGAATTAAGTATGTGCTTACTTCTTTTGTTAAATAGAGGTGGACCTTATTGAACTGCGACCAAGTACAAAGGAAAAGGGAGCCAGTGAGGATGTATACTTAAATGCTCCAATCAATAATTCAATTATTTATATAATCTGGGGAAAACCATTTTATTGGTGTGGGAGGGAAAACACAATAAGCTAGGTTTGTGCTAAAGAATTAGTCTGGCAAAAAAAAGAGGGAGAATGTAACTTTATAGGTAGTTTTTTTATTAGTTTGCTTCACCAGTAAATATGGATCAGTACTTTATGTTTTAGCACTAAAGTATGAAAATTACACACCTGTAAAAATGGCATCTAACAGTTATGAAATTAAGAAACGCCTGTCATCATGTAACATACCATTAGGTGTGAGGTCATATTAAAGAAATAGTGAGGAAATTAATGTGTTTAAAATATTGAATAGCTTAGTAATGTAAAATATTGCTACCTTCAATATATCTGAAAACAGGTCTGATGTTGGGTTGTAGTAGATTTCTCACTGTATTGGCTCTGATGAGAATAAAACCAAAATACTTTCCCATCGTAGGGCTGGTTAAAAACTAAAATCGACATTTTTCTGAATACATGGGGAAACTTTGAAATTGTAAATTCAAAACCTGTCACTGCGTCCCACATATGAATTGCATCTAATTTATAATTATATTGTGTGTAATTTATATATTCCATGTGAAGCAAGTCTTAGGCCTGTAAGTGTACAAAACAGCAATTTGAAACAATACAGAAATAATTGTTTCAGCTCCACAAGGCTATTACACCTTCACTGTAGCTAATAACCACCTGCCACATTTTGCCAAGAAAGGATGAACACTGCTCATCCACTCCACTGGAATGCAGAATACCGTTACCAAAACTGTGATATGATCATTAAAATAATAAATATGGTATGAAGGGGTACAGTATTTGTTGTAGAAAGAATCCACCTGGCCTAGCATTCGAGATTTAAGATTTGAGGGTCACTGTAGTTAGCAAAACTTCACTGCATTTAAACAAAACAGAAAAAGCATATGCTTGTTGTCATGGAATGTCACATCAGGGCTTGTCTTGTCTTAGAATATTATAGGCAGTAACACTGATCATATAGTGCAAACTAGATAAAATTGCGTTTCACTGTGTGAAATAAACAGAGGTGCAAATGCTCAGTAGGATACCATTAAGACATAAAATGGCAAAAAATAAATATCAAAACTTTTATCAGTGTAAAAAAGTAATTGGGTTATTGTATAACCTAGAGTCTGGCAAAAAAGGCCTCAAAAAAGTTCACTCAGTCTTCAGAAGTTCTACAAATTAAGTGCCTTTTCAGGTTTCCAATTAGACAAGAGACTCCATGCTTTCTGCGGGATCAGATTCGTCACTGGCCATCACAGCACCATTTTTGTCCAGTGTCATGGGACCGTTTCCATTTTCCTTAGTGCTGACCAAGCTTAGCATTGCCTTATAAAGAAACTGGTACTGTTCCTGGAAAAGAAAAGAAAAGTTATTTCAATCCTTTCAGTGTACATAAGCGAGTGGCACTTAAATTTGGCATTTCCAGGGAAGGTCATCGATATTCATTACTAGAAGCGTACTTATAGCAAAGAAAAAGACTTAGAGAGTAATTACCTCTGTTAATCTCGTTTAACCTTGTCAACCCAAAATTCCAGTTTTGGGTAGTTTATATTATTCCTGATATATTATTAAACGCTACAGGAGGGCAGGACAATACCTGAGCCCACAGCTCAGCCCCAGGTTGTTCCCTCGTACCGGCAGAGCCAGAGCCACGCACACTGAGACAAGGATGCTGATCTCGCTGCGCACCGAGCGAAGAGCCCCTCTGTTGAAGCTTTATCTCCCTGCAGCTCTACTTGCTCTGCTGCACCCCTTCAGCTCACAACATGCCAGGTTTAAATAGCAGAGCTTAACTTACAGGGCTGGCAAGGGGATGATGACAAACTGAAAGGTCCTTCTCTGCTAGGGCTGCCTGCACAGTGGCCCCCTAACTGTATGAGAAATAAGCTTAACTGCAAATCAGAGACTTACAGTGTGGGCTTCAGGTTTATAAAAAATGACAACTATACAAAAAAAGCCCAAATGCAAATTCTGCTTGGTAGCAGATGCAGTAGGGCTTGGTAACATACAGAATATGTGTTTTAGTTCATGTTTTTGGTCTCAGATGAAAACCTTGTAAACTATCCATTTATATTCCATTTAAAGACTTACAATGTCTGTGAATACTCCAGGCCGCATAAGATTTATCATCTTTGCCACCTGGAAAACATCGACAGCATTTTCGTTCTCCAGCTGCTGGGACAGAGTGGTAAGGGCACATAGCGTTCCTGCTGACACGCGTCCCTGCTGACACAGCTCCATACCTGAAAAACCACACCAAAATGATAAGTTATTCAGAAACATACCTGGGCACCGACACAGAACCATGAAAATGTTGATATAGTCTTATCTGATTACTGTAATTCATCTTTGTATCTATTAAATGCTTGTTTTATACTGGCTAATTTTTAGTCATTTTAATTTATAGAAGAAATTTGATGGTACACCAGTCATCTCAGGATATCTGCAGTATTCAATACAAAGAACTGTATCAGCAGAAGAACGCGAGCCATTTAAAAATACCCAACCTCGAGACTATAACACTGAAATCAGTTCTCACATGCCACATGTACTGAAAGCATCTGCATTATAGCTGAGCGTATTTTAAATTCATTAGTGGGAGCTCAAGCAAAACATAAACGATTAGAAAGAAATGAGACTTTGCCTCTTCCTCCACATCTGACAATTACCAAAAACTAACACAGATATGAGGTCCTCACAAGTAAATGAGGCACATCTCAAAGTCTTCCTTAGGTCTGATTCATTGGCAAAATGCAACATCCCCGAGTTGGGCACCCAAGAGACATTATGGATTCTGAAGAGTTGAGCTGTGCTGTCATTTAATAAGAACCCAAGCAACGGTTATTCGTCAGGATCGTGACTCAATGTGTCCTTGAGATACTGGTTAGGTAGAAATCTGACTGCTGCTAAATCTGTGGGTATGCTTGAATCATGCGTGCAGTTGTGGGGCATGGGATAGAGGATCCTAAGCAACAGGGGCTCGTAACTGCTTCTGAGGAGCCTCAACTGTCCTCTGCTCTTCCAGCACTCAGGAGACTGAAATTCTGTCCTGGCTGTGCTATGGGTCTGCGCTGTGACTTTGAGAAAGTCTGTGTCTAAATGTCCCCACCTGTAAAAGGGGACATTGGTGCTGATTTGCTCTGGAGAGCTGTACATGGAAATTTAAATAATCGGCAAGTGCTGCACTGCCATCTGGTATCATAAGATTACCACTAGGATTTTTTACAACATTCCTGTGGAAATCAAGACATATGCTGACTTAATTTCATATGATTTTTGCAAACTCAATTTGCCTAGAAATGGGAAACAGAAATCAGATCACAATAGATCTGCTATATTTGATGAAAAGTCTATAGAAGAAGCAGCAGAGCTGTACAGATGGCTGTGACTGATCATCTACAGAGACAGGGGACAAAGTGGCCAGTGTGTGTGCCTGACGGGACACAGCTAAATGCCTCTGAGGGTCTAATGGCCTCATTTTTATTTGGGCTGATAACCTCCAGCTCCCAACAATCTGAGAGCTTTTCTCGCAGAAAATTATGCAGCAAATCTTTATCTAGTTGCCTACATATGGGCAGTTATATTTAAAAATCTTGACAACTGTCTCGAGTTGGAATTTCTGAACTTCTTTGAAATGTTGTTACCAAGTTCATCCCACCATGTACTTCCTAAATGTGACATGCATTTAGTATCTGCAAATTCATATATTTGGAATTAATCTGCAGTTGTAATTATTAGTGGATTATGTGATATAGTTGTTGCATGTAGTAAAGGGAAATTTTCATTTTCAGCTACATTTGCTTAGGCTCCAGTGAAAAGCAGAATCCACATTATGTATTAGGCATAAAAATAAAATCATTGAATATGACAAATAAACCAAAAAAGCAATTTACAGAAAGAATGACTCAGCACTGTTAGGAATGCGATTTTGATTTTTTTTTTTTTTTTTTTTTTGGGTCTAGCATGAAATGCCCAAATCAATAATGGTTCTAATTTTGTAAAACATAATCTTAAATACTGCAAGAGTAGCAAAACCTCACTTTAGACTACCCAAAGCATGAATATTAAAATGAGTCTGGAATTAATCAGTGCTGGCAAAAGGCAACAGAGCTTACACTGTGCATTAGCAAGGCAGGAGATGGTGGGAGAAAAACCGCTTGCTGCAGCCCAAGGCACCATTTGCAGGAGTCAGTTAAGAAAAACCTGTTGCAGCAGCAACACACTGATGTGAAGTGAAAGCTCTTTCAGCAATGGCAGATACCAGCGTGCGATCACACATCAGCACAAAGGCTCATCTGACCACTGAAGTACCAGAGTATGGTAATAACATTTTTGCACAAAACATTTCCAAGACTTTCCCACTAACTCTGTTTTGTAGTAATGATAAAAGGTCTAATGGACTCGAGTGCAGGGGGGCTGCAGGTATAGCAGTTGTTTATACTGGCTTGGTGTTTGCTCTAAGGGCAACTCAAGCAGTGTCAGAAATTGGGCTTCCTTGGGATTTTAAGAGCAGAATGACTCCAGAAAGTGCTCTGCCTGCCACGAAACAGTCCCTCCAAAGAGATCCTGTTAGACCCAGGCTCCAGCTTCACTATAATGGTATTTTGCAGCTCCATAATGTGTGCAAAGTAATAATATGCAATACAATATTTAGCATCCTTTATAATTGGGCATTCAAGCATAGCTGGCAAGACAATGCTCACCACTGCACTACAAAAGAGACAAGTGTTAGGGCATGCTGGCCCTGTGTTAGTGGGCTCCCTCCCTCCCACTTGGCACCATATGGGCCCCTTGGAGTGCTTTTGGGGAAGCAGAAGGAGGAAAAAGAAATCTGCTTTTGGAAAACCTGGGCCCTTTGTCACAAGATACTCCTGCTGCTCATCCTGAGACAGAGCTGAGCTGAGCTTGTTACATGGCACATTAAACGTGAGCTGTTAGACAGGAGCTCAGGGCTGTTTTGAAACTGGTTTCCATAAGTCCATATTGGGCTGCTTAGAGCCTTATCTAAATCAGGGCTCTGGCGGGTTCTGAAAAAGGTTGCAGGATTGGTTTGGGATACTTCCACATGCAGAAGAACTCAAAATGCTTCAAAGCAAATGCAGCCTCACTTTCTGAGTCCACCTAAAATCATGACCAACATAAAAACTATACTAAGCAAAACGTATTTGGCCTCAGATGCCAACTGAAAACTCATCCCTGGAAGTTTAAATATTCTGATCCTGTTCCCTAGACCACTAAACACCATCTGCTCCATGCAAGAATGGACATCAGTCCTAACAAGTGTCCTGTAGCTGAGTAATTCCTTGTACAACCTGCACATAAATGGGAGAAAAGAGATGACGTACTCATCGTGAACTATGGTGGGGCCATCCCTTGTTAAGGCTTCTTCCTTGATTACATTGATAAGTTCAAAGGTACTGCTTATGGGAGCATCTGGGTTTGGCCATTTAGGACACTGAAAGTGGCGGACTTCCAGAACGTAGTCATCCTGCAATGAAAAATCAGCCTGGGCATTAGCTACTTTAGTTTCACATTTATCCACTCCAGGTAGAAAGAGGGAAGAGCCTCACTACAAACTGAAGAGATACCCTTCTTTCAAACAGTTTATATAGGAAGAAGACAACAGACACACAGCTCTAGCATCTCTGTAACAGTGAACACCCTAAAATAATGCAACTTTAACAAAATGTTTGATTGATAAAAGATTTTGTATTTGAGTTCAGGGCTTATATCCATATAAAACTCTCGGAACCCTTACAGCTCAAAAGTCAAACAAGAGAAGAGCAACCAAAGAATTCAAATTTAAAAGGGCTTGCAAACTAATGTTTTGTAGCAAAATCCAGCTGCAATCCTAATAGCAAACTAGAGGCAGGTTTATAGCTCAAAAGAAACGTGCTTAAGTAAAACTCCTTAATTAAGACCCCCAAACAATTAAATTATAAATGCTGAATTTTATAAGCAGAAATAGGACAACAAACCTTGGTGTACTTTAGAAAGAATAAGTCAATCTACTTGTGTGATTTCAAAATGAAAAAAACAATGTCTTCACTTTCAAATAAGACAAACAAGTAATACTACAGTCTGACTAGCTAGAGAAATCTACCTGGAAGTAGAAGATATGAGGGGGAGAAGAAGCCAATGAGAACACCTCTCCCCTGTGAGCAACATGCATGCATACGCATCTACAAGTAAATCCTTTTCAAAACTGTTTCTGAACTCCTCTTCTTCTATATTTAAATGACATCATTAACACTTTGGTGAAAAGCCAAGACCCACATTTGGAGGTTTATTTTACCTGGGTAGCTTCAAGGATAAAGTCATGGATGATAATTTGCTCTTCGTTAGAGAGGCACAGTCTGTCTTTGCTGATAAGGGTCACAGTAAAGGCCTCACAGTTCATGGATTCCTCGCGACTTGGCCAGTACACAAACTCATCTTCTGCCTGGAGGAATGAAACAACACTCTACTGCAGCCTTTCAGATACCTTGTGTATGACTGAAAAATCCAGTGGATCAAAAAATTGGTTTGATAAATAGAGATGACCAGGAACTGACCTTTAAAAAACATTTCTGTCTAAAACAAATTTACTATTACAGTAGGCAGTAAGCCTGCCAGATCCTTCCTTCATGTGTCCAAACAGGTAACGTCTGCTTTTTAATTGGTTTCATAGGGAAATGCTTATCTTAGCTCACTCATACTTAACCTTTGTATTGTATCCCAGGCTTTATTATCTCCTGCCTCCACAGTTTTGCATGAAAGTCAGATATCTGTTTAGAAAAAAATCATTGATCTTTAAAATTTAATTGCTTATTATTTTTAACTTGTGTTTATTGTGGTCTAATGCAAAACTCAAGGTCTGTGGATCAGGTCTAGGTAGAAGACTGATGGATACTTATATAGGGCTTGAATTTTTAGGACCGAGGGGAGGAGTGAGGGGAAGGAAGAAACCCAAATATTCTTAGCCTTGAAAAAAACACTGACTTAACTTAATGCAATTTCTCCAGCAAAACTCTTCTACTGAATCATAGAATCATAGAATCATTAAGGTTGGAAAAGACCTCTAAGATCATCAAGTCCAACCGTTAACCCAACACCACCATGCCCACTAAACCATGTCCCTAAGCACCTCATCTACACGTCTTTTAAATACTTCCAGGGATGGTGACTCCACCACTTCCCTGGGCAGCCTGTTCCAAGGCCTGACCACTCCTTCAGTAAAGAAGTTTTTCCTAATGTCCAGTCTAAACCTCCCTTGGCGCAACTTGAGGGGACACTGTAAAATTTCATTGAGACTATGAATCGTAGAAACACCTCAGTGTTGAAGTAGCCTAACTGACAGGGTGTAGGTAACATACTGTCAAAGCTATTCTTTAAAAAATAACTGTGCATTTCTAATTCACTGGAGAGAAAGAAAATTAGGCTCTGTAATCACATACATGCAAAGCTTGTTTCTGCTCCTGGCTTCAGGGGTGTACTGTCCCTGGAGTGTGAGCACAGAAGCTACCCTGGCAGCATGCACGGCACTGCATCCCTGCATCTCTGTGTTTTACTCACGAGAAAACAAGAGCTACAAACCCACTCATCCTGCTGTGGCCATGAGCATGCCTCTAAACCCAGGTATATTTCTGTGGGCCTGGAGCCTTCATGCACACGATGTGCAAGACACTGTTGAGATTTGGGCCTTAAATGTTTATTCTGAAAATGGGACTTAGGGTCCTAAGTCCTCCGAGTGCTTTGAAAATTCTGCCCTCAGTGTGCAGAGATGCCAGCAAGCAGTGTAATATTGCTGAACGCCAGGGAAGTGACCTGTCCTGCCAAGTGACAGGTCCTCATGCAGCAGTAGCATGCATTATCATCTCGTCCTTTTGCATTACACATTCAGCACCTTGGCACGGTCTCAGTCCTGTGCCACCTCTCCTTGCCAGCCAACAACCCACACCAAACACTGCACCAATGCACGGATGCTACTGCCCTGCTGTCCAACCTCCACCCTGGGAACAGTGAAGGTGAAAGCAGGGACCAGGCATCCTTGCAAAGGATGTGGCCAAGTCCAGCGTTCCTCCTTTACCCTTTAATCACTGTTGTTCTGCAGAGCTATTTCATGTACTTGTAAAGACAAGATCGGCCTCTTCATTTCCACCTGACACACTTCCATTTCATTAGTGCTTTCTGATTTGATCGGATTTCTCTGAATGCTCTTCGCCTTGCAGTGCCTGCAATCCCTTTCATCGCACCGCACACAGGAAGCATATTGACTGCTGCCTCTTTAGTAGCCCCTCGTGACTGCTATTTTCCTGCTGTAATGAAGGTGGTTTCTCTTTCACTCTCAGCTGCAATCGTCTATTCACCTCAGTGATGCATGCATGAAAAAACGAACCGTTTATTTCTTAATCCTTTTCAACGCGCCCTCTTGAGATGTGCTAGTAAGTCTGGAAGTAGTGATTAGCCCTTCACCTGTGTCTCCTTATTCGCTCGCTCTCTCTGTCTGTCTCATTATTTCCACTTAAGTTAACATACATGTTTGCTTTTTACTTTCATCAAAAATAGCATCTGTAACCTTGCACAGCCGTAGTTTTGCATGGCCTGAGCCTTAAGCCCCTGGGCAAACAAGCAACTATCCTACTGTCCCTGCTTCGTATTTCTGCTCCTCTCAAAGTCCTTACTGGTGGCGCTGGCCACCCAGTAACCTCAGTGCCTTACATCCCACTAGCCAGGCAGCCCTCAGGACCTTCGCAGAGGTCATCATCACCGGTGTGCTGTCTGTAAGCACTATGGTCCATCCAGATCAGGATGTCTTTCCTAGGGGTGAGTGCAGAAGGGGAGAGCAAAAAACCACGCCCCACATCTTGGAACTTGTCTTTTTCTAACAAGCTTATGGCAAAGTTTGAGAAGGTGGCTCAAAAATTGGCTTTGCTTTCAACCAGAAAATAGCCATAGCATGCAACTAGGTGACCCCATGCTGGTACTAAGTGACTGCAGTCCCACGCAGGGAGGGATGCGTTTAACTCACCAGGCTCTGGTTGTCCGGCAGCATGACGATGATCTGTGCATTGTGATCCCAGATCATTCGCCAGAAATCTTTAGTTGTATGTGGCAGTGGATGTTGGGTTATGATGAACTCGTTACTCCTATAGTAGCCCTTTTGCAGCAAAACAAACCACACAGTTACTTACTGCCTTCAATACTTTTAAAGCATTAATTTCATCTTTGGGGACAAATAATGACCCTATTTCATTTTATCCCACAATATTTTCACACAGACTATAATTTTGTAACTCCATTTCCATTCTGCAGAGTCCCTGTTGTTTTAATTTACTCTAAATCCCACTATTTATTTGACTGTATCTCATGGAAATACATTCCATCTAAATGCATCTTGTATTTAATTTTTCTAGGCAACAATCTTTAATAAAACACAGTTAATAGCTTTACATTATGGGGAAGGTGTTAAAATCTCATCTGTTAATACACAGCCATTACATACAGAATTAAGACAATTATAGGCATCTGGTATTTAGCACCTTAGAATTGATTTTACTTTGTAATTAGGTGTTGGCTTCCTCACCATGATATAAGAAGCATTAATGTAATCTGTTCCCTTCATTCCAGGCAGTGGTGCCAAGCCCACTCTAGCACGCTCAGCTACAAAATTAAAAAAAACAGAGAGGGAAAAAAAAAAAAAAGATCAAAGTCTGGTCGTGGCACAATGCAGAAAGTAAGAATTTCTCAGACGTTAACAAACCAAACACTGCGCAGCTCCCATCTCCCGCAGGAGCAGGCCAGCACTTTAACTGCGTTAAAGCATTGCCTGCTAACACAGGATATAAAAGAGAATGTTGCACAATATTCCCACAAGGACAAAGTAATTTCAGGAATCAAATTTTACTATAGCAAAGATTTTCACAGCAGGCTGAATTACCAAATAACAGTATATGCAGTGATAACAGGGGACTTCAGGTAATTCTTGACTGTAGTGTTCCATTTGTCTCCAGCAGCACACAAACCCAGCTGACTTATTTTGTTTTCCCTACCACTCCATAGCACTACCATCATTCACTCCTCCCAGCTGGAGGGTGAGAGAACCTCCAGAGACAAAACACTTCCCTAATGGGTAACCACCCAGAAGCGTGTGTGTTCTTCAGCAGATCTACAGTTCTCCATGTTTGAGGACTGGGTTCAACAACATCCTCAAACCAACTGACAGGCCCCAGGCGCCAAACTGAAATCACTGCAGCTACGTCACACAAAGTGCAAAGTCCTATAGACTGTTTCTGCCCCATTCACATTTGTTTTTAAGATGTATCCTGATGACTTCCCTTTTTATGAACTGTATCTGTGCCATTATTGCTTTCTGCTAGCTTGGCTATCATCTGTCCTGTATGTCCTGTACTCTGGGTAATGTGATGGGAATGACATTGTGCCCATGCTTGTTCTGGTGCAAACTCGTACTGCTTGGCAACCATGCACAGAATCCATTTTAGTGACTGTGAAATTGTGTCCTCGGGCACTAAATACCCTCAAATCTGAGGAAGGCTCACACGCAGAAATTGAGTGTAGCTGAATTACAAACAGCTTGTGCCAATCACACTGGGAGATCTCACCTGAGCTGCGAGTGGTATCAAAGTAATTCTCTCAGTATTCCGCGGATTTATCCCCTACCTAATTATTCAAATTCTTAAGCATTTCAAATTAACATTTCAGTTGGACGTTATATCTGGCTGACACTGTAACTATATTCTTTTGTTCAGTTTCATCAGGGTAATTCTGAAAGACAAGACAGCTTGGTCTGAACAAAAGATTACATTTCTCCTTCCTAGTGGTTATGCCTTTTCATGCATAACTTCGGGAGAATTCAGTACAAAAAGTTATGCCAGGCAGTAATCAAACCAAAGATGTGATCTTACACGGCACGACTGATGAGTTCCTGTTTTTCTCTTTGTTGCAGTCTTTCTGAGCACTGAAGCATTCCACGTATTTTGCATTACACTGTGTAACCAGCTGAAAGAGAATAAAGTAGTAAGTCAGCGCTCCAAACAAAGGGAGGAGGTTTCTTTGCCAACTCCTGCAAAGATGCATCAGTAGAAGAATAAACTGCATTGTTAAAGTTGTTTAAAGTACTCAAGATGCCAATAGAAATCATCCTTTGCATACAACATCTTTAATGGATAAAAAGATCTCAGCAGCTCTCAGCTTCGAAACATCCTGAAAATTAAGTTCTATCAAAATGTATTTTCACAGAACGCTACGTTTAGTTATCTTTGAGAATATATTTCAAAGACTTGCAGATATGTTCAGTCAGAAGCAGGTCTCAAGGAAGAAAAGCTAGCAAAATAAAACAACAACAAAACTTTTATGTTTTCTTCTAAAATAAAAGCCAGATCATTCCTGCAGAATGTCTTTTTCTGCCAGGCCTTTGAGGAACCCACCACGCCAGCATCTGAGATCCAAGGCCGTGGGTTACGTTCTCTGGTCTGCCAAGTTCATTCTGGGCTGCTTATGAGGCACAAAGAAAAGTCAGGGAGGCAGATTTGTATTTGAATGTTCCCCCAGTGTATGGGGAAACTCTACCAGAGCAAAGAGGGTGAAGGTGGCTTTTCATCTCCTGCACTAGCAACTCATTACTCAGCGTAATTTTACTCTAAGACGGTTGAATGTAAGCTACTATACCAGGGCATAAGCACAAGTTATTTTCTGCCGGCTCTATGGTAGCAGCAGAAATGAGAGAAAGATTTAATAATTGTTGCTGGTCACGCCCCAGTTTCAAATGCACTCTAAACAAGATAGCACTCAACTCATCTACGTACTGGCATACGCCCCATTAGAAGTTATGGGTTTCTAAATACTTGGGTAACGTTGGCAGAGAAAGTAATTTCTGAAAATGGCACTTCAGTTTTTGAAATTTTGCCACGAGTCATCAGAAAATGTCTTTATACATATAATTTAGTGTTGTTTGTAAAAGTGCAACACTTTTTTTTAATAAGAAATCTTATTCTCCTGCTGCATTTTGTGTGTGTGTGTGCGTGCACTTGCGCTTGTTTCTTTAATTTAGTAATTAAGCATCTGGAATATCTTGACTGATGGAGAAGTACTGAGATTCCTACAAGTGAATTCAGAGAAGAGCCTGTTCATTTTTTGAATAGTTTGGCACCTGGTATAATTTAACACTTTCAGTTCCTTACGTAGTTATTAACTGAGTGAGTTTAGCTGTGAAAACAGATGTCACATATAATCTTCTTATGATACATAGTCTCACAAAATATTTTTAAATGCATTCAAATAAAATGCAATCAGAAAATCTTAGGTTTCAAATAGGAGATCTGGGCAAAAAAATTTACTTTGGCCAGGATGAAAGCAACTATGACATAGCAGGGAAAAGCAGTAAGCATAGTTATTAGCAATGAGAAAGGCATATTTTGTTTCCTGGTCTTAAAAAATTTTTAATTCTTTATCCAGTGCTGAAATAGTAGGTGGTGCTAAGAACCTCATTTCATGTCTTTCTCCATATATATGCATGAGAGCCACAGTTTGGAGGAAGACTTCCAGCTAAGCTAACCACAGACTCGAGAACATCCAAGCCCCCGTGGGAACAGGGAGACCAGCAGCATGCTCCAAACCAGTGTCCTTGTCCCTCTTCTCACCTCTGACTTCAAGAGTGTTAGCGCTGACTTCCAGCAGTGTAGCTAAGACTGTTGAGGACCAAACTTCTCAAGATGCTGTGCTGTGCTAATCAAGTGTTCTGGTTTGGTTCCTTATCTATGACAACTGACAGTGAAGACAGGCCATACAAAAGAGTAGGGAAATTAAGTCCCTCTGGATGGCAGTGATAAGCCTTACCTTGAACTGTTTTTCTAGTCGTGTCTTCCCTCCTATGCCAGGTATGAGGATGCTGTTAACATAACTATGCAGCTGGTTTGCAGATACTTCAGTCTCCTTCCCAAGGATGGCTTCCAACAAGGCATCATGAATAAAAATGTACTGCTCCTAGAAAAACAACAGCATGTCACGTAGGCACTTGGAATAAACTAAACAATTGGCTTTAACTGAGGGGTAGAGCACATTAAAGGAAAGGGTGTGCAAAACAAGCCACCCATGCAAATACTGCCAAATCCAGACTAAGCATTTACAAGTGTAGCACTGTAAAACTGAATAAGTCAAAAGCAAAATCTGAAGTTTCTGGTCTAGAAAAAGAGAGACATTCCAATGCAAAAAATGCCTGGTGATATATTCAGTTTTTACAGGGATGTAACTGAAAAATCCATTTTCTTTTTGATTACAACATAAAAATGAACATGGCTTTAAATTCAACCCACTGCAATCTTTACCTCTGTCTGGACGAGGTAGTTGCGCTGTGTCCTGATATGTTTCAGGAAACCCAGGACATTAACTGTGCTTTTGTCTTTTATCTGTTGCAGCATACTGTCTATCACAATGTAGGTACCAGTTCTGCCAACACCAGCACTATAGAAGACAGAAGAGAAGCCCATGTAATACAGCCGGACCAAAGTAAAGCAGAACAAAACTAAGCAAATATTCCTGTTCACAGACTTTCATTTCCCTGCTAGCCCCAACCATGAAAGTTTCTAAACAAAGCATTTTGCGTTTCTGGGAATTTTACCAGGTATATATTTCACAATCTGACACTTGGCTGTCCTGTCTCCACTGCTGCTGTTACTGGTGTTGGCTAGAAGAAGCCATATAGAGATCCACCCTATGCCGAACTGCTGCTATCCTGGACCACCAAGGTCACTCCAGGCTGTGGGGCTGCCCTGGTTGGCTTCAGTCTTGAGGTAAGCCTTAAGCTTTACAGTGGAGCTGTAATCCTGCTCTGGAAATGCAAGTGGTAACAGCACTACGGAAAGGCGTAAGAGGGGGCTAATCCTGTGGAGGCAGGACTCCTTGAAGGGGAGGAGGGCGGTCCTGGGCCCAACAGAGAGGATGGAGAAGGGAATTCTTCAGAGCTTCTCAACTTCAGCTCAGGAAGGAGCTCTAACCCCCACCATCCTCTCCTCTTCGCTATAGTGCTGTACAGCCCCCTCACACACAGCGATGAAGACCACATCCCTTAACTCATTTAAGGGAAATCCTCTGTTGACTGCAAGTACTGGTGAATGTGAGTGTGGTTCAGTGCAGTGGTTCAGTGGTTCAGTGGATATGCAATCGCATATCCAGGTGTCCATCTATTCACAGGGTTGGTTGCCAGCAGAGGTACCCCTGCCCTGCCCACGCACTGAATGGACAGGCTACAAACAAGCTTCGAACAAAGAACTGCATGACCACATCAGTGCAACGCTCAGCAGCTCAGTATCATGACACAGGGTTTTGCTAATGCAACTGGAAAGCTTTTGCACTGGAGCTGTCTTAAGATGTACGCAAAGCTCATGTCTACCTGCACTCCATGGGGCTGGCACACTCCTTCCGTGTTAATAACTTACGGCGTTTGTCTTAGCTGGCATGTGAGAGCACACGCTGTACACTAGGTATGCTTGCCATGAAGTAGTTAATCACAGCCATCATACCTGCAGTGCACCACCACTGGTCCCATGTCCGGGGTTCTGGCTGCGGAGGATCTCCTAACGAAGGTTAGCACAGGCAGAGCGTACTCCGGCACACCCATGTCAGGCCACTGAGTGTAGTGATACTGAATAACCGTTCTCTCATTCTGCCGCCCTTTGGGGTTTCCTTTCTGACCCTGCGTGCAAAGTGTCAGCAGAAAGAAGAGAAAGATTAGGGAAGGGAAGCATAGAAAGATACTCAATCCTACTGGCTTGCTCAGCTGAAAAAGTGCTGGACTCTAACAGAAGAAATTTTCTGCAACTCTGCCTCCTGCTAGGTGGAGATAGAGTTCAAGGAAAAATACATGTGAGAACAGGTACTATCAGCAATAACTGTGAAACCAAAGCAGCAGTGAACTTGAGAAAAAGAAATACAGGCTAAACCTTTCACCAGGTTGCTTGTAATCCTGGCTTTGCTTACTTATTTCCCATCCACCTGGTACTTAAAGTTGCCTATGCAAACACTGAGTTTTGCTCCTGTGTGCCTTGCATCCTACACAAGCCAGAAGGCATCTGGATAAGAACAGTGAAGGCTTTACTCACCTTTTTCATCTTTGTGTTCCTGACTGTGAAGCGGCGCACAGTGTAGCAGGCATGAATGTTTGTGCTCTTCAGCGTGACGATTATGTTGCCATACTCCTCGCTGTTCTCTGATGGCCAGTACTGATCGCATTTTCTCTGAACAAAGACATAGTTGGGTGAGTTGGCTGAGGGTTTGACCTGCTTCTTTATATTTGTGTTCAGAGCTTTTTAAAAAAGTAAAATCATGGCTAGCTATGTATCCCTCTCTTATGTTAGTTATATATTACATATCAATATATATCATCCCAAACCATTTAAAAACAAATTCTGCCCATGTGATTCGGGGAGGTGATAAGGAGCAACTGCTAACAAACTAGAAAATCTCTTACTCTTCCTTTTTCAACAAGGTTTGTGATCATGACAATGATTCCAGTATTTTGTTCCCAAATCATCCTCCAGAAATCTTCAAAGGTAGACTTTAAAGGTCCCTGGGTAGCAATGTAGGCTTTTGCTTTGTTGTAACCCTTCAAAGAAAACCATAATGCCAAGTGAGATCAAAGCAATATCATGGCAGACATATTAATATTTTAAAGGTAACAAAGAAAAGTGCCTTTCTCATTCAGAATAGCACGGAATTTGTAGCAAAATTATCAGGTGAAGTTGGAAAACACGACCACTTCACAAGTGGCAATACTGGCTCCTTGTGGAAGGATTCAGAGTTAGAGAAGAAAAAACAATTCAACAACTTACATCGACATAATTAGCATTAATGTAGTCACTGTGCTTAGAATCTTTCCCTGGTAAAGGCCTTAGCTTCACCCTGCTGTGATCATCTGCAGGATAAAAAACAGAGCAGAGAAGCATTAAGGAAACACAGTGCAGAACTGCAGGTAAACATCACATTTCCTAGGTATTGTAATACACAGAAGAAATTGGCCTTGGATTGGAGTCAAAGGGAAGGCGAGAGTACCTGTTCTTGGTCATCTGCTCATGACAGCAGGTCCTCAGGCTTCACATCCCTTAAAGTATGTGGTTCGTGCTGGGACAGCTTCCCTTTAAAGGACACTGGAGCCTCAGGAGCACGATCTCTAGGATCATCCACATCACACAGTGTGGTGTGATTCAAAGAGCCAGGGCACCCCACCAGGCTGTGTAACACCACACGGAGACACCAGCTCGGCTCTCGCAGGCAGTAAAGCTGCCTTTGCTTGGCTCCGTGTCGGAGCTCATTATCCTCCACTCGGTGCTGGGCTCAGACAGCTCTACTGGCTCTGGGAGCTGAGTGAATGTCCTCACTCGTCACACCCTCGTCACACCAAGAGGATAGACTGTAGGTCACGCTCTTTAGCTCCTCTTTTTGTTCCACCCAAATGCTTGACTTCGGCTTAAGTCAGAAAAAAATTGCAGTCCTTCTCCTGCTCCTAGGCAGCAGCATTGGGCTGGGTGGCACTTCTAACACATGCAGAGATGAGACACGTGGGCTAACTTTAAGCACGAAGAATCTGGTTTCAGCTGCCTTCCTTGAGCACCAATGGAGAGATTGTCCTCCAGGGGCAATCTGGAGGGCTGGAGTGCCTGCTCCAATTCTCCTCCAAGGGTACTTCTCTCTCTATGCTTAGACGGATCAGACATCTATGTCTAAAATCAGAGTTGGGACAACGGCAATGAAACCCCTTGCCCAAGGCCACACAGCAAGTCTTTTGCAGGCCTGGGTATTGGTCCTCAGCTGGCACCTTGATTACTTCTGAGAATCGGTTAGAGACATGCATTTCCTTCCTATGCCATCAAAAACATTCAAGATTTATTGCAATGTTTATGAACATTGTGAACTTTTTATCAGCGGCTCTCTGTCTTTGTTCCTAAACCACAGTGACTGGTGCATCTGCCATTCGTTCCACAGCAGAGAACAATATGGAAAAAGTTACCGCATTTCCACCCCAGACCTGCAATAATCTGCATTCTAGAGCAGAGTCCAGATTTGCAGTTCTCAGAGGAATACAGGCAAAGTCTGCACTGTGCTACAAAGATCACTGTTTGTCCAAGTCGTACACACAGCTGAAGCAGTTTGAAATACAGCAGATACACTCTGTAAGATTTAGCACCTTTGGGATTATCAGGGAATCCCAGGGATCATCAATAAAACTCTTTGCTCCACCATGCATTTCCCTTAGGCCAGTTTTCAGACATTAGCGGGCAGAAGAGCTCTGATCATCAATTTATCCCAGTTATTCCTCCACAAAATTTCATACCAAACTGATACTTGGACCATCAAACTGCAAAATATTTTAAAACAAAAGCTGGAGTGAAATCCTGGCCCCAGAGAAGTCAAAATGTCCACTGCCTTTAGTAGGAAAATGATCTCCCAGCCATGCTTTCACATGGTTATTGATTACTGTGCAATGTAACGTGAAGCCACCTGCCTTTTTCAGTCACATACAGACACACTGTGAGAGGAGAGTGCCTTTTCGGGGTGATTCATTGTGCTTACTTACAGGCTAGGATGTTGATGTATCTGTTCTTGTGCTTGTTGTCGGGGTGGTTGGAATGCTCTGCAGTGATGTTCATGTCGGCCGTACAGCGCTGCACCTCCTAGGCATAAAAATTATTCAAATGGAAAATGTGTCAGTCCAAAAAATTTAAGCTTTATCTCCTTTTGCAACAGCTTACAGAAACCATGTTTAAAATATCGGTATCTTAATTGCTGGATTGAACACAAAGTCCTTCAGTATTGTCCTGTATGACATGGTCTGCTTAAACTGAGCCGTGTTAGCTGCTCCCTGGTGTGCGGTTGTGCTCCTCTCCACAGACTTGGTGACAGATGCACTTTGGGCACCCTGAGGGCTGACCGTCCCCTCTGACCAGCAGTCCATCCATCTTCTGGACTGCATCTCCTGTGATGCCCCACTCTGTCCCCTCTTGGGAAGGGAAGACAGAGTCCCTCAAAGGCAAGAGTGGCCAGTGCAGTATAAGAAACGAAGCAAAAAACCACTTCAACAGAAGCCTTTGACCGCTGGACAACTTATCTGCTTATAACCTCTCAAAACAGGGTTTCTGACATTTAAGTTTGGCACTGACCTTTTGTTAGTTCTCTGCAGAGAGTTGCCTTTTATAAAATATAAATAAAATAGATCTCTCAAGATAACAGTGAGTGCTTTAAATACCACTGCTTGGACACTGATTAACAGCCCACGATATAGTGAAAAACATAAAAGGTTGTATCCACGTATATATACATTTACAAAGCAGAAAGAGACAGGCTTGCCAAGGTGTTCATGAAGCTAGAGATGCAGATTTCTGTCTAGTTGAGGCTGTAGGTTAGATACCTAATTCCCATTGATTTTTTTAGTTCTTAACCTATCCCTTAACACTGTCCAACAATGGAATACAAGGCTATTGAAATGGGGCAATGGAGGGTCTTTTCTCTGTTCCCCTTGGCCAGATTGTCCTAGAGAGTTACACACTTCAGAGAGTGTCTTGCAAACTGAATCACTACAACTCATGTGCGATACCACCTCCAAGATATATTCTTTTTGTATCTATTTAACCACAATCTTCCTGAAAAAGCTAAACCCTTTTTTATCACTAGCATAAATATTCTTAGTTTAAAAACACATTTTTGAAAAATATATCAATGTTTGGAGTTTACAAAGTTGTGGAAGAAACTATATTTATTCAAATCTTTTGCGAGTCCCAGAAATCGCACCAAACAGAACCAATTTCCCCCAAGGGTATACAGGGAAGTGCCAAATTACTTTGTACTTCAGGCTTTAAAAATAACAGTATAGAACCTGCCTAAGAGAGAAAGTCATTAGGAGCTCACAGCTGCTACAAAGATCACGAGCTAAGTGACAGAGAAAAATTATCAAGAGAAATGGTATACAAACAGCAGATGTAACAGAGTTCAGCATTATGCAGATATTTCACAAAGGACTTGCATAGCAATTTTGATATCTTCCCCAGCATTTACATTTTAATAGTGCAAAGTATACTAAAACCTTGAACATTTTATAGCTTTTATACCCACATGACACTCCCAAATAACAATTGCTTCTCTCTCTCTCCCCTCCTCTCCATAGGGAGAAACATACTACAGTCAAGGAGATGAGCTCAGCAAAGACAAAGAGGAATCAAGCAAAACTCTCAGCTGGCCCTAATAGAATTTTCATAGTTCCATTTCTATCACAGAAATAAAAAAAACACATTAAAGTGTGCGCTTCCCCTAATTCTGCCTGTCAGCTCCAGTAAGCGAGGGACTTCTGGTTACACAATGGGCAGGATCAGTTCAGCCTAAGTCATAACTGGAAAAGCAGCATTACTTACATGTTAGGTTGATTTAATGTAATTTTGTTTTACCTTTTTTTGCATTTAGAAATCATATAACATCACTGCTGTACCATTGTAGGTCACTACTAAAAAATACCCCCCCTGCTTTTGAAAAGCCTCACATCAAACTCTACATCCCTGCATCACTACAAAATTCTTTTTAGAAGTTATTAGCATAGAAACATTTATGCCAAATGCTGTAGAATTTAATACAGATGAATCCAATAAGGTTCTGTGGAGAATACTCTAAAAAGTTATAGAATTTAATAGGGAATTACCTCCCTGCTAAGGAATTTTCTCTGACAGTTTAAATACTACATAGTAAATGTATCACTTTCTATTAAATTCTATAGGATTTCTCCATAAGGGAATTGTTGGTGAGGTTAATCATTTTAATTAACCTTTTTATGTTGATGCTGACTGTTTTCTCAACTGTACATGTTCCCAGCTGGCCAATATAAAGTTAATAGAAGAGGAAGATTAAGCTAAGATGGTGAAAAACACAGCAAGGGAAAAGAAGGTCTGACACTGTGAGAGCTGATCATCTGAAAATGGCTTTTCTTAACACATAACATTCTAAATGATTTTTAATACTCTGGAAAGCTGCTATAATGGTGGATTCCTATGTCTGCACACTGCAAAAGCATAGCAAAAGGAGACTTCAAGAAAAGCTTCCCCTTTGCCAATGTGCCTTAACTATTTTTGTCTTTTTAAAAATCAATGTAGAACAATAAAAGGCCATTTTGTCTTCAGCTCCCACCGCTGACACAACCAATGCTTTGGAACGTTGAAATTGTCCAACAAGAAGGGTCTGGGGACATCCTCCAGCTCTGTGTGGGCCACTAACAATGTTTGGCTGTGTGCCGCACGGACAAATCAGGTTGAGAGCAGAGGGCGGTTATCCGTGCTCTCTTACCCTCCTCTGTTCATCTCTCTAAATTCTAGTAGCAAATTACTAAACCACAGGCTCACCCCACCAGACAGTAAGGCATAAGTTAACATTCCTTTGTTATTAAAGTCAAGGTGGTTGTCTTTCATCAATGCACAAAATGCTGCAAGAAGACAAGACCAGTTGCAGCCTGTTATCTATGCCTCTGTTCAGACTATTATCTACCCTTTGGCAGAAGAGGACGGCCCAGTGTTAATAAATATCACCCTGGAGAAAGTTCCAAAAAGTCACCAACCTAATTATGCCATTTTACCACATTTATGTATATTACATATTTACTTTCCCAGCATTTTCTATTGCTTATGCAATGAACACCCTGGGATTTCTAAAGTCCTTCATTTGCATTTAAAACATCATCATGATTATATTATTATTACAACTTAAGTTTGCAGGCAGGTCACCAGGTCAGGTCTGATACCAGCTGTTCACTGCAGCCTAAACAATCTCCTCTCCAATTAGCACAAAACTGCTACTGGCACCTTGGAGTAGGACAGATAGTGTCCATATCACCACATCCATAATTCATTCACAAACTTTTCAGCTCTAGATTCTTTGGCTTTCCTTAATCCTGCTTAGTCTCTTCCACTGGCGGCTGGCTAGCACACTGCTGCTCTTCATGTTTAACTTTGCAGAACACATTACTGTCCAAAGATGAATGGATACAGGCTCTTATTCTGTCCTTTCAACTTATCATTGACAACCCAAGAAACCAAAGTACATGGTTTCAATTGACCGTTAGTTACTGTAAAAAGTGTTCTAGTCTATGCTATTATGGCTAATTTACCTTTTAATTATATTGTCCATGCTAATGCTAATTGGAATTTGATACACCCAGGTTTAACGACCCATTTTCATTGCCTTTCTGAAACAAGTTACAGATTAGTTTCTTCTAAACTTCAAAGAATTTCCATTTAAGTGTAAAATCAAACTGCTCCAGAGTCTTGCTCACAATATAAGGTTCTGACAAGAATTTTTGCTACAGTGACTGAGCAGGAACTCGGTCTCTTGATTTGGCCTTATTCAGTGCTGCTGTTGTTTCCCATTACTTGTCTGATGTCCTAGCAGGGGCTGAACTGTGAAAGCCTATGAATAGCAATGAGGAGGAATCATGAACAAAGAAAAGATCCTAATCTGAAGGACTAAATTAGAGAAGATCCATAGCTCTGTTTTGATATTATTGTGATATTTTTCAGCATGAAAGCAGCTAGTTCATCCGCCCCTAAAATCATTTTTTACCTATTATTTTAATCCCAAATTAGAGAATTCTGCGTAGTGCTCTTGCTGTTTGTTTTATCACAGCAAACATGAAGACGGCATACCAACAGAGACGGCAGATAGTATTTGAAGATATCCCACAGGAATAGTGTAGATTTTTGCGATAATTTAGCACTATGTATAAACTCTCCAACGGCACTCAAGAGAGAGGTGAGCTGGGGACAGCCTAGAAAGAAGGGGAAAATAAACAAACCAAAAGGACTCAACACAGCAATAACAGTGGAGGAATCATGAATAGATAGCTAAAAATTCATGTAAACGAATGAGAGGAGAGGATGGTGGAGGACCATTTGCTTGCGGTATCCTGCCCTTCATTAGGCAGGGAGGTGTCAGAGCCTGACTGAAACCTTGCATTGCCCATGTGGAGCTATGGCTCCTCGGAGCAGAGCTTCCAGGCAGAAACTTAGGGTATGGCTGCAGCCCTATGGTTAGTAACAGACAGCCCAGATATCTGAACTTCTTTTACTGCTTCTCTTCAACTTTATCCCTTAATTCACAATGCCAATTTCTTAGGGTAGGTCAAGTGGTGAGATAAGAATTGAGAACTCCAGGAAGACCCTCTTCTGCAGCAACCCTTCCTCCTCTAGCTTCACAGCGCTGCTTCCCTTTGGTTTCAGTACAGCAACGCACAGGCTGAGAATACCTCTAATTATGGCAGTTTTGGGCCAGGGTTATAAAATATTTCCCAGTGCAGTAATGTCTGTTAGCAGCATGCTTTTGAAATGGCATCTTTCTACTGCCAAATTCCTTGGTGTAGATGCAGTTATAAGCATGTGTCTGGTGTAAGCTGTGTCTAATCTGTAAGGGATGCCAGTATAACTACACAGTATTTTTAGTGTCTCAAGAAATGTGCAAAGTGCAGCGTTATCTGTCTTCAATGCAGCCTTTCGCTAGAGAATAACATTCTGAGGTCACTGGTTAAAAAGAGCTAGTGACCCCTGCCCCAAGCAGCAGCAACCATGAGAATAACGTTAGCAAATCCCTGCCACATCGCTGAAGATACAGATTTATGTTATTTTCTTACATTTCAGGACATTTAGAA